AGGCTGCAGTGAGCTATGATTGTGCCACTATACTCCACCCTGGGTGACAGAACAAGACCCCGTCTGGAAAACAAAAAATGTAACTAGGGCTCTGAAAGCTAACTGAATGGTCTGGAGGTCTGGAAAGCAGATAGCTTTATAAGTGTGCATACGAATCACTTGGGATGATGTATTTGGATCAGTGGGCAGGGCCCAGGAATCTGCATTTTTTTTTTTTTGCCCCCATTTATTTTATTGCATTTTAGGTTTTGGGGTACATGTGAAGAACATGCAAAATTGTTGCACAGGTACACACGTGGTAGTGTGATTTGCTGCCTTCCTCCCCATCACCTACATCTGGCAGTTCTCCCCTTGCTATCTCTCCCCAGCTCCCCACCCCCCAAGGAATCTGCATTTCTAACAGGTAAACCCCAGGTCCCATTGCCCCTCCTGCCATGATCCTGAAGCATGTGGCCTCGGCTTTCAGAAACTTTGTCCTTGGGTAGGAGCTCCGATGGGGCAGTCCCAGACACTGCTGTGAGCTCAGAAAAGATTAGATTTGTGCCAAATGAGTCCCTTTCTCTCCTAAGAGCTAGTCCTGAAAGTTGGATGCTGAACCCTGAAAAATGCTGCTGTGATGGAGGCTCAGAAGAAGGGGGCTCTGCCTAGAACCCAGGAGTCCAGGGATTTAAACTTTCCACCCCACCAGGGCGGAATGGATGGAGTCAGCTGACAACAGGGAAATGCATAAGCATTTCCTAAATATATGACTCACTTTGTTCTGAATTTCCACTCTGGCCCTGGGGTTTGGGACCTTCAGGATCCTATTCCAATTGCAGGGGTTTGGTTAGAGAGCCTCTTCAACCTTGAGGGGTTTAAGAATTAGACAGAGGAGAAGAAAAGTGAAACAGAGAGGACAAGAGAGGAAGGGAAGAGAAAGGTAGCACTTCCACCCGAAATGGCTCAGGTCCCCACCAGAACCCAGTGTCCTCCATAGCTCACATTGAACTTCAACACAAAATACTCTATTACAATAGATTTTCCTTCTCAGTCATTTTCTTTTCTTGGCTCTTCCTAGGCAGCCCTGGCCCCCAAGTCCCCCAGTTGAGGGGAAGTCATTGATAAATGAAAAAGCCCTGGCCTCCCTCTGTGCCCCATCCCAGCCCCACATCTCAGGGAGGAGCTGGCCCCCAAGCCAGAGCAGGCCTGAGTCTATGTGGGCCAGGCCAATAGGCTTTCGTCCTTCCAGGGGTATCCATTCCCCTCCCAGGTTCCTAAGATGTTGGGCCCCCTCCAGCTGCACTGCAGTCTGACTGAGCAGGGTCCCCCAGGCCTTCCTCCTCTAGGCTGGTCCTCCCAGGGCAAGAGCAGGCTTTCAGGTTGGGAGGGGGTCTGCCCTCCATCCCCCAGTTGTCACCACAAAGCAAAGTCCAGGGAAGGAGGGGGAGTGGGCAAGGGTGGGGGTAGTGGGAGAGCCAGGACCTTGCTAGTAAATCAAAGTTGGTTTCCCAGATGGAGGTGCAGCTGCTTTGATTTCTCAAGGCATCCCCTCCCACTCTGCTGCGTCCCCTCACCCCCAGCTCCACGGTTTCAATTCCTCCCTGAAAAGCAGCAGGGCCTCCTTTCAAACCAGCCCAGCTCCTCCAACTCCCAACAACAGCTTCAGTTACAGGAAAGGGGAAGGGGAGGGGGTGAGGTGGCCCAGCCTGGAGAGACATTCTGGGAGAAGAGGGAGGAGGAGTGGAAAAGGAGGAAGGGGGAAAAGAAAGAGCAGAGTGAGATAAGGGGCAGCCGGAGTGGAAGTGTGTGCTCTGCTGGAGCAGGAGGGGAGCCCCAACCGGGAGGCCAACCTGCCCTTTCCTCCCTCCCAAGGGAGCACCCCCACACCCACCCATCAGCCCAAGGACCCCTCCACATCTACAGAGCTCTGCTATTTAGGCTCTCCTATTCCTCTCCCGTTGGCATTAGGTTCTGGAAGTTTCTGGAAGACAAAATATCTAAACCATTCAATCCCAGGGACATTTATTTCCTGATCTAGACAGCAGTCACTCCAGAAGCTCAAGAATCAAATTCAACACTGGCTTTCCAGATCCCGTTTCCCTAGTTGGCTCTGAACAGCACACACCTTGGCCTCACTCAGCCCCTAATTAACAGATTATGTTTAATCCTTTTAGGGTCCATCTGCCTGCCAGAGATGTTGAAGAAGGGTATTAAAGAGATAAAGCAGCTATACTCTGCTAAGTTTCCTTCCACCTCTGCCTCAAACGATGGGGCAGCCTTGGAAGTTGGCAAGAGTGGCGTAGGGTGCAGTGACGGAACCCACAAGTTGTCAAGAAGTGGAGTTCCAGTAGTCCTAGGTCTCCTGATTATTCAGTGGCCCATTTCTTTTTCTCCTTCTCTTCCTTCATTTCTCTTTTTATTTCTCTCTCCTTCTCTTTTCTTTCTTTTTGAGATAAGTGTCACACTCCCCGTTGCCCAGGCCAGAGTGCAGTGGTAGGATTGCAGCTCACTGCGGCCTCCACTCAGGTGATCCTTCCACTTCAGCCTCCTGAGTAGCTGGGACTACAGGCATGTGCCACCATGCCCGGCTATTTTTTTTTTACTTTTTATTTTTAGTAGAGATAGTTTTGCCATGTTGCCTAGGCTGGTATCCAGCTCCTGGGCGCCAGTGATTCACCAGTCTCATCTTTCCAAAGTGCTGAGATTGCTACTGTGTCTGGCCTGTGGCCCATTTCTAAGGGCCATTTCCCTGAGATCTAAATGGAGGATGGAGTACAGGGAGAGGGAATTTGATACCTCACCTGAAGGTGGATTCAAGGGCTTAATAGGTTCAGGGAGAGAGGAGGAGAGGTGAATTCACCCAAAGCAGAGGCACACTGTGTGGGTCAGGGGAGATGGTAGCCAAGGAGACCGATTCTCTGCAGGCTCAGACCTGTTTTCCGCAACATGTCTAGGACCCACCCCACTTAGAGCAGAGTATTTTTGCTTAGAGAATAAAACCATTGAGGCACTTAAAATGTCTGCAGTTAAGGCCTCTTCCTTGCTCCCTGTCTCCCAAACAGATAACACAGCCCTTCCGTCCTTAGGGTGGGGACCTCAGTGCTTTGAAAAGGGCACTAACCCAGAATAGAGGAAACAGAGAGGACCTGTCTCCACCACGCTTACTGGAGCAGGAGGAATTCCCTGGAGAGTCACTGTACCAGGCATTGTCCCTTAGAAGAGCCCTCAAGGACAGAGAGCTGCCGGCTTCTCTGGAAAGCAAGGCTTGAAAGGAAAAGGCGCAAGGAGACGCAGACTTGTGTAATTACCTAAACTGTGACAGGGGCAAGGTGAAAGGCCAGAGATAGGAGGATTTCTGGGGGGGGATGGGGGGGAGCCCCAGGCAATCTCCCCAGGTTTCCTTAGCGGTGAGAATTTCTCCATGCTTTCTTCTCCTGAGCACGCCCCTGTGTGATGGATGTTGCTGTCATTTCACTTATCTGTGACATACAAGCCTTTCGTCTTGTTTGGGTGGCATGAAGCAAGGAAAGTTTCAATGATCCAAGCATCATATTCTCACAGACTCCTCCGTCTGGCTCAAAGGTAAAATCAATAAATAGTTTTATGATCCCTTTCTACAGATGAGAAAGTCACAGTTAAGGAAGGGAAGATGACTGACCTAAGCTACTGGGCCAGTGGGGCTGGAGCCAGGCCCGCAGCCCAGACATTTGGAGCCCCAGACCAGGTTTCTTTCCACTCCCGCAGCTGTTTCTCTGCTCTCCTGTTAGGTTGAGATTTCTGCTCCTTCCAAGTCCATCCCACAGAATGGAGGAATGGACGGTACAGCAGATTTACAGTAGGTAACCAACAATTACCCCAGATATCAATTTTTTTTTTGAGATGGGTTTTCACTCTGTTGCCCAGGCTGGGGTGTAGTGGGGAGATCACAGCTCACACAGCCTGAAACTCCTGGGCTCAAGTAATCCACTCACCTCATACTACTAAGTAGCTGGGACTACAGGTGTATTCCACCACACACACCAGGCTAACTTTTTTTTGTTTTTTAGATGGAGTTTTGCTTTTGTTGCCCAGCCTGGAGTGCAATGGTACAATCTTGACTCTCCACAACCTCTGCCTCCCAGGTTCAAGCGATTATTCTGCCTCAGCCTCCTGAGTTGCTGTGATTACAGGAAAGCGCCACCATGCCTGGCTAATTTTTCTTGTACTTTTCGTAGAGACAGGGTTTCTCCGTGTTTGTCAGGCTGGTCTTGAACTCCCGGCCTCATGTGATGCACCCCCCTCAGCCTCCCAAAGTGCTGGAATTACAGGCATGGGCTACCATGCCTGGCCCACACCAGATTAATTTGTAAATTTTCTGTAGACATAAGGCTTGGCTATCTTGCCTAGACTGGGTCAAGCAATCAGCCCAACTTAGCCTCCTAAAGTGCTAGGATTACAGGTGTGAGCCACTCTACCTGGTCCTAGATATCAGATTTGTAAAAGTAATGAATAACAATGGTGCCTTGGGATTTGGGGAGAAGTGGCACTTCTGTGCACTGGGGACACCTAAGCTCCCAGCCCACAGCAGAAGCCCAAGATTAATGAGAAATGCTCCTTAGGGAGGGATAGCAGAATGTGGCCCCCTAGACTGTAGGCTCCCTGAAGCTGGAGCCTGAGTCTCTGCAGACTATCTGCTTTGTATATAGTAGGTGCTCAATAATTTATTGGATAAAATAATAGCTACTATTACCAAGCTTTTAGCCTAGCACCAGGTCATAATGAGTGCCATACGCTGTTTCATTCAATTCTCACAACTGAAATAAGAAAAATAAAAATTCTGGGCTGGGCATAGTGGCTCATGCCTATAATTCCAGCACTCTGGGAGGCTGAGGCTGGCAGATCATTTGAGATTAGGTGTTTGAGACCAAGCTGCCAACATGTTGAAACCCTGTCTCTACTCAAAACACAAAAATTAGCTGGGTGTGGTAGTAGACGCCTGTAATCCCAACTACTCAGGAAGCTGAGGAAGGAGAATCCCTTCAGCCAGGGAGTCAGAGGTTGCAGCGAGACTGAGCCACTGGACTCTAGCCTGGGCAATGGAGCAAGATCCTGTCTCAAAAATAAAAACAAACAAAAATTTGATCTGGGCCTGAGGCTCCCAGGCCCAGAAGAAACAAACCTTGAGACATCTTCATGTTGGCTAGAATCTCTGCTGGCCCAAACACCCCTTCTCAGTCTCCCTCCTCATTGGCCCCATGACCTTCATTAAATACTGACATTCCCCAAAGCTTTGGCCTTCCCACCCAATCTTCCCTAGATGATCTTAGCCACGCTCATACTATCTGCCACAGTCTAAAAGTGCCAGATCTAAATCTAGACGAGTTCCCACCTGAGCACCAAGTTAGTTTATTCGCCTGCCTTCTGGACACTTTCTCTTGCAAGTGCCATTGGACCAGGCTTGCTTGACTACGCTCATTATCTGCCCTTTCCCTCCATTTCCTAGCCTGGATAATGGCATTAGGGCACCTAGGTCAGAGCTTGGTTGATCTCTTTGCTTCCTCTCTCTCTCCTTATCATCTGCACTGCCACATCTCGGTTCTTGTCCTGTCTCTTATGATCAATCTGTAATTAGTATCTCAGGCTCCCAGCATCATGCTCCTCAAAACTGATGAAATGTGCAATTCGAAATGCAAATGTGACCTCTTCCGTTCCTGAAACTCTCGAGTATACCCCATCTCTAGGAGCCCAGTGTGCAAGGTACCCAAGATCTCTGACTACTTAAAGCCTCCTCTGCCATCATTCTCCCCGATGTACGTGGGACTCTCACAGGGCCAAAGTCTTGTGCTACCTGCCCCCTCCACCTATTTCACCCCACCATGCCCTTGCACACAATGTTATGTCTGGAATGCCTGTACCTGCTTTGTTTGTTTACATGTCTGTTTCCCCATTAGACTGGCGAGTTAATGTTTCTACATTTAACACCTCACACTTGATCTGTGAGGCCCTGAAACTGATCCCTAGCAAGGATCAGAGGTGGGAGGTTCCCTGTGGGTGGGAGGTCAGGTATGTTGTATTGTATGACTGGTGCTTGATGAACCAGGGGAGAAGGCACCAAGAACAACGGTATTTAAATGTAAAATCTCCACCCGCTGAGGGTATGTTTTCAGGTCTGGGTGACTAATTAGACTCGGAAACAAAGAAGGGCAAGATGGCCCTGTGCCTCCCCTGCCCGCTGCCTCTGGTGGATGCACTTCCCCTGCCTGCTGTGCTTCCCCTGCCCGCTGCCTCCGGTGGATGCGCTTCCCCTGCCCGCTGCCTCTGGTGGATGTGCTTCCTCTGCCTGCTGCCTCTGGTGGATTTGTGGGCCGCTGGCTTCAGTACTGTTTTTCTTTCTGATGGTCCTTGTTATTTATGCACAAATATTTAACTACACATTTAAATGTCATACTGCATGGCTAGAATTATATTATTTGATATGAGAAAAATAAGTATTTTGCAGGAGGCCTGAGGTGGGCTGGGGTCACTCAGTGTTCTCCTACGGCAGGGCCTCACTCTCCTACCCCTCAGCAGCAGACCCTCCAGTTGGAGTCTTCTCTGTTGGGGCTTCACTGTCACTGGGATAATAACAAGGTTTTGATTGGCAAAGTTTTGACTGTTGAAAGGAGGAATTAAGCTTCTCACCCCCTCCTCATTTTAGATGGGAACTGTGAGGGCCCATCATTTACGCAGTGTCCCTGTTGAAGATCTCGTCCTCATTGGAAGACTCCTTGTCATGCAGCTTCCGTGTCATGTTTTTCACGCGTGTGGCACTGAGAGGTCTGTACGTATCCCTAAGCCAGAGTGGCCATCTTAATCAGAAAAAGCCACCCTAGAAGATAGAAAGGGAAATATTAATTTTGCATGTCTTCTGCCTTCTCTGGCCACAGCAATGAATCCTGCTCCAATGTACCTGAGTCGCACTTTTCGATGAGCATGTCCTGTGTGGCAGACGTCTGGAAATGCCCCTGGGGAGACACAGGCACAAGACAGTGAGTGATGCTGCCATTTCCCACGTCTCTCACATTGTCCTTCTCTGGTCTTAATTAGGACTAAATGAGTACCTCAGTCCAAAGTCACAGTGAGCAGAACCACTGCAAACCACATACCTGGGGTCTTGAAAATAATTCCATGCAGGTGGGACTTTCAGAAGCGCTCCCTGTCTGTCCAGAAGGGCCCCACAATATAGCTGGAGGGACTTTGTGTGTGGCTCAGCATGGAGCACGGGGAGGATGTTCAGTCCCACTCACCCCCGTGGCCAAGCGCCCTCGTGCAGCGAACAAACGGCACAACCATGCTAGGCAGGAGCATTTTACATCCGTCCCCTTCGGACTTATTCTCACGGGCATCATTTGATGGGGGGTGGAGGATGAGGTGGTTTTTTTTTTCTAGATGCTTTATTTGCTTTATTCTGTAAGTTGAATCACCTCAAGCAAATGCCTGAGTGTAACTAGCCAAGTTGTCTGTCTCATAGATCTTCATACAGCAGGCTGTCGCTGGTGAGTGAGTGAGCTGTGACATCAGCTTAATGGACAACACATTCTTTTGAATGTGAATAAAACAGAAAAAGCCAGAGTGCATTGTGTGACCATGGGGCAAGACACTCTCCCTTTCTCTTTCTCAGGTTTCCTATCATAAAGGACAAACTACTGTCTAAAGTCTCTCCTATTTCTTTCTTTTTTTGAGATCAGTTTCGCTCTTTTTCCTAGCCTGGAGTGCAAATGGCGTGACCTTGGCTTACTGCAACCTCTACCTTCTGGGTTCAAGCGATTCTCCTGCCTCAGCCTCCCGGTAGCTGGGATTATAGGTGTGTGACACCGTGCCTGGCTAATTTTGTATTTTTATTAGAGACGGAGTTTCACCATGTTGGTGAGGTTAGTCTCCAACTCCCAACCTTAATTGATCCACCTGCCTCTGCCTCCCAAAGTGCTGGGATTACAGGTGTGAGCCACCTGGCTTGGCCTTCCTAGTTAAAATTCTGTGAGGTTTGTATAAAAGGAATAGAGTGGGAGCCCAAAAA